AAAAAAAAAAAAAACAGTCCAACGAGGGCAATAGAAATCATGTAGTTGATTTTGATGATCAGCAGTCATTATGAACTGTTTTTGTTAGAGGATTTAGGTATGAAGTGTCTGTGATTAGTCCATTTCTGCATGTTAAAAAAAATGGTCTTCTAGAGTTGAGAGAAAAGCTGTGCAGCATTATCCACATTGACAGCTTCCTGCGGAGCTTCTCTGACCACCTGAAATATACAGTTTACCCGAGATATGACGGTCCACACAAAGTATGTACAGTACAAAATGTATTTGGACACGAGGCATGAAATGTCACTGCGTTTGATCACAAAACATGACAGTGACATTTAGAGACAAAGCACAAAAACACTTTATGCTAAACATTTTACAAAAAGTAAAGTTGTATGCATCAATGAATTTGAACATTGTGATTGTTTATTATTAGTACATTACTGCCAAACGTCACTGTTATATAGTTATCAAATTTAAAGCTACAAAAAAGGGGGAAAAAGCAAAAAAAAAACTCACTTTCTGTCCTTTTTTGGGTTCACTGGATGTTGATTTTGATATACTTTTTAGATCTCGCTGTACTTCTGTGAACATCTGATTTAAGCTTTCCACTTTTTCATTTCTCAAAGTGTTTATCTGCGGGAAGAATATCAGCTTATTTATATTCAAAATCTCTAAAACTGTGTTCAGTCCTAAATGGTGCATTACTGATGTAAACAAAACTTGACCTCACATGTTTCAGGGAGGTCTTGACGGGTTTCGCTTTGGTCTTGGGTTTTGACTGTTTAGTCGCAACCTGAAATACATTCTGCTGCTTTTTGCCTCTCTGTTTATTTTTGGCCATATTTGTCCTGTAGACTTTCTGATGACAATTCAACTCAATGAATGAAGCCGCAATGTGGACGTCTAAAATCTCAGTTGAGCGACAGATCCGAACATCGACAGACGGAGACCAGTATGCGGCTGGATCCCAATTTGGTGACACTCGATTATGAATTAAACGTGTCTAACAAAACAAATACAGCTAAATATAAAAACTTTGCATCTATTCCATGAATAGAAAAGCGTAGTGTCTGCTGTGACTTCTGTGCTTTTCCTTCACTGTACAAGTTCATCAGCGAAAACTTGAAATAAGGTCACTTTGGTCACTACTTATTGAGATAAACATGTTGGAACAAAGTATTGAGAATTTGCACTTTATTTGTCCATTTAACTCTGCA